CCATTGTTCAACCCCCAGTATAAATGCCATCCCCCTTCTTTACATATATTTACATCTGGATATGGAACCAGTGGAGGATGATGGGTAGTTAACATGGGCCCGGTCTCCAGGAGGGTGCTTGGGATGACTTCAATTTATGAGCCCGGGATTGGTGTGAGCTCAGTTCAGTCCTCTCCTGGCCCAATCGCTTGTGGCCGGGGCATATCGCTTCTCGGCCTTTTGGCTAAGATCAAGTGTAGTATCTGTTCTTATCAGTCAAAGATGCACAGGTAGCCAATTGCCTGTGTAATTGTCTGAGTACTGGAGGAGGCTGCGGACCCCGGGTTAAAAAAAATATCCGGCAACTTTGTTACGTATATCTGTGGGGCAGGGAATGTCCTGGCCGACAACTGATTGGGCAAGCAGAAGGAGTGTGTCACTAGCAGGATTGGGCAAACTGGGTCCTCACCAGGCCCATCTCTAAGTCCACGTTTACACTTTCGTGTTGCATGAATGCGTGCCAAAGCTCGTGCTTTAGTGTGCAGTCATGCAAGACATCAATGACATGCAACATGCTTGTGCTGCCATTACTTGCTAATGGCACCCCAAACGCAGGCGGTAAAAATTTGTGTTTTTGCCTGCGCATGGATGCCCATCAAATGTGCACAAACATGTGTCCAAAAAAAATGCAGGAAGCTTGCAGGTGAAAATGCTGCATGAACTTCTTTGCTGCGTTTGTCACACGTGTGGCAGTCCATTGAAATGAAGGGGTTGACGCACGGTAATGGCAACAAAAACGAATGCAACGTGTTATGACATATCAGTAGAGTGTGAATGGGGCCTATTAGTAACCCAGTCGTAGCTTTGTATGCCTTTTAGACTTTCATTCAGATGGTTATTGGCAAGTATTTCTCTCAGTAAAGCAACTATGGACTCCTAATCAACTATGTACCCCTTTTATAAAGCCAGTGTCTGGACCCCTAACCAACTACCCTCAGTGTGGATTACCTTATCCCAAGTACCCCTTTTTTGGACATATTTATTACCAACATCCCTTGGCTGTGTGTACATGTTTTCTAAATAATTCGTTTTATAGCTGAAAATACTTCCTCAGGCCTTTTTTTATGTAGCATGTATCATATACCAGAATACTACACTGTTCTAATAAATTCAGACAGCAGAAGAACCCTAGGAACCTGTGAGAGGTACTCCCTGAGGAACACTTACCACTATAAATTCTGACCCTAAGGACCTGACTGACATGTCTATGAAGTATCCATTTGTGTTTTCCTCCTGGGAATCACTCAGCTTCATATTTTTCTAGCTTGCTCTGGCAAGAAATCGAGCCCTTTGGTTAATAGGAGAGCAGTGCAGACATTTTATTTCAGACAGTTCACACAAGGCACATTTTCTGCAGTTCCTTCAGGAGTCAAGGTTTCGTCATAGGAAATATTTAATTGGAAAATTTGTATGATTCACCAGTCCATCCACAACAACATGCACAGAAGTTGCTGTTGCTCTATGGTAGTCATCCCCAAACTGTGGCCCGGTGATCTGGATGTGGCCCCATGCTTGCATTTTACTGGCCCAACTATTCCTCTCACTGGCACCAGTGATGGGGCAGTATGCCTCCCTTTGTTATGAAAGAAGGGGGCAAAATTCATCCAACTGACACCAACATTAGGGCATAATTCCTCCTATTGATACCAATAATTGGGTACAATTCTTCCCTTTTACACAAACAATGGGTCATATTTCCTCCCACTGACACCAACAATGGGACATTATTCCTCCCTCTTACACAAAAAGTGGTTCATAATTCCTCCCTCTGAAACCAACAACTATTCCTCCCACTTACACAAATGATAGGGCACTATTCCTTCCACTGAAATCAACAGTGAGGCACTATTCCTGCCACTTACGCAAGTGATGGGGTACTATTTCTCCCCTTGACACCAATGATGGGGTACTATTTCTCAGACTGTCACCAGTGAATGGGTACTATTTCTTCCACTGTCACCAGTGAAGGGGCACTGTTTCTTCCAACTGTCACCAGTGAAGGGGCACTGTTTCTTCCACTGTCACCAGTGAAGGGGTACTGTTTCTTCCACTGTCACCAGTGAAGGGGCACTGTTTCTTCCACTGTCACACTGTCACCAGTGAAGGGGCACTGTTTCTTCCACTGTCACCAGTGAAGGGGTACTGTTTCTTCCACTGTCACCAGTGAAGGGGTACTGTTTCTTCCACTGTCACCAGTGAAGGGGTACTGTTTCTTCCACTGTCACCAGTGATAGTGGATTATTTATTATTGCCCCGCCATTGACTAACAGCTCTGTGGAATATTTTACTCCCACTGACCACTGAACCCGTGGCATTTACTACTACTGGCCACAGTCTGCCCCCTAAACTCTTAGTCAGTACGTGGCCCTTTGTTTAGAAAGTTTGGGGACCTCTGCTTTATGGTATTGGCACTCTCGTGCCTCTTTTGTTGCACTTCATGACCTTACTATTCTCATTGTTTAGCATGCTGCCAGCTGTTATCTCCACAACAATGTATAATTAACTTGACAAGCAATACAATGGCAAGACTGTTAATCCACTTTGTTAGAGGATAGCACGGCAATTACTATTGCCTTCAGGATAAAGTTGTAAGTGTGCTGTTTTAATATATCTGATATCTGTATTGTGATAACAATACGATTCTTGCTTTATAGGCCAGATTCTGCTCGGAATGTTTAGTCGTCTTTCTGGCCTTGCTAACACCGTCCTACATGAACTGTCTGGTGATGGAGAAGGATCTGAAAATGTGCAGGTGTCTGTGAGTAACGTCTTAAATGATAGCCTTGTGAACAAATAAATACTGTTTGTCATGCAGAAATTGGCTGAAGCTATCATTTGTGTTCCTCACTTAACAGTTTGTCTTGGGGGAATTATTTGCACTAACTATCTGTTATTGTGAATACCTAAAACTTGTATGCCAACATCCCTCGCCAGGGTCATTTAGTTGTACATTTTTTACCTGGTCTGGTTTGCTCATATAATAAGTCATGTCATCAATCATGGACACCCAAAAGCCATAACAAGGGTCTTGTTCAGAGAGAGAAGAAAAAACATTTAGGAGACATGTCTAATCTAAAAAGAGTATCGGAGGACCTTTTCTGCAGTTTGGTGAAATATTTGGAATAAAAATGGAGCTTTCCGATTGTGTGAGAAACTATATATCCAGATTGGCTAGTTATGTCCAACGTCCCATCTAATCACAGTGGTTCCTACCGTAAAAAATTTTTGTAAAGAGCTTTCTATGCCTCTTAGTGTATATAGCAATCTACAGTTAAAAGAGAACTATGGGCCAACCTTTTTTGGCCGTAGTTCTCTTCGGGGTCATGTTAAGACATATGCTAATGTCCTCCAGCGATCCAAAACTCAGTATATACCGGGATATTGCCCGGTATATGCTGAGAGCACAGAGCTGCTCTGCAGCCGGGAAGGATCCCGACAATTCTGTCGAGATCCACCCCGCTGGCTGATTGACAGCTGACTCTGCCTCTGTAGAGGCAGAGCCAGCTGTGCCCGCCCTCTCCACCGTCTCTTCTTCCAGTCAGCACTGGAGAAATGGAGAGAAGAGGGGGGAATCCCTGCGAGACTGGCAGTCACCGCTTTCTGCAGAGAGAGAGAGAATCGGGAAGTCGGCGGTATGTGTTCGCTCACTTCCCGATCAATAGGGCCAACATGTGACAGCTTCAGTGTCACAGGTCGGCTTGAATTATGGGGATGAGTGTTTTTCACTCACCCCATAATTCTCCTTGAAGTGTCTTAGCTTGGTAGGACCAATGGTCATTTTAAGGTACCTGATAAAGATAAATGTTTTCCACCAGCCATGTAAAGTACATTTACACTACAATGCCTTAACGTTTTTGTCCAGCCAAAACGTTTTGCTTTGTTTTGGATAGGACGGGGAAGAATTAAAATACCCGACAGGTTTTTACTGCTATTCAGAGCTTATTTAGAAAGATTTATCCTCGCTTCCATGTTTTACCAGACAGGAAGTGAGCGGAACTCTCCAACAGCAACACGGACCTAAATAAAAATGCTATTCTTTAGTACAGTAAGGGAAAGCTAGAACCCCAATACAATTTTTATTTCTGTCTGTGTACCCGTAGCAGATTTCCCTCCTAGGGCTGCAGCTAACGATTATCTTCATAATTGATTAGTTGGCCAATTATTTTTTCAACTAATCGATTGGTTGCATTAAAAAAAAATCTCTCCCTTTCCCCCCAACCAACAAACCGATTATGAGAATAGTTGGCCACTATTCTCATTATCGGTTAGTTGTTGCAGCACTATTTCCCTCTCTACCTGTCTGGTGAAATCACTGTCAGCAGAACAGTAAGTAAGGGGAAGTCTCTCTATTAGCACCCTGGACGGGAGTAAAAACCTGACGGAGGTTCTAAACCTTCTAAATGCTGTGTAAACAAAACTATTTTACTCTGTAAAATGTATGTAAACCTTTAGTCTGTTTGTCAGTATATTCAGCATGATTGTAAACTGTTAGCAGTTTTCTTAGGCAAATATGTTTCATTAATCTGTTTTCCTAAGTTTATCCTGCCAATTTTAAATTTTGTTATTATCTAGTCTTCCATTATTATTTATGATGGGCCCTAATAGTATTTACATGCTCAGTTGCTTGGGGATGTGGCAATTACTTACTGCATGCAGTTATGAACCAAGTTATGAATTATAAAAGAAAAGTGCAGACTGCTTACTTTTCCTATACGACCAATAGTTCTTCCTTGACAGTCTTATCCAGAAGATCAGGGGTTCATAAACTTTCCAGGGAGACTAAAATTTTGCTCAGTCTTATTGTACAACACAGGCTTGCAACAGCAAAATCGAAATAATATAAATGTATTCCAAAATGTCTCCAATCATCTTCCAGGCCAGCAACCTAAGGAAGGCAAGCCGGCTGTAGTCGCCAGGTCCAAAGGGGATCCTTCTTCCTCTGAGAAGATTCCACCCCTTGGTTCAGTGCCACGGATTGCCCTAGCTGCCAAACAAAGTAGGAATCGCTGTGGCAATTGTAATATAAAGCTTCCCCCTAACACCTCTAAGCCCTTCCGTGAGCCTTACATGCACAAATTTGTAGCTGCTGTGTCTTCTCAGGAGAGACATTTTTGGGGGTTCAGGTCCAGGAAAAGTGGATTTCCTTCTTCCAAGGATGAGTAAGAAAAATATTTTAAATGCCCTAGGCTTGATGCAGCTTTAGCCCAGGTGTCTAAAGGTGGCCATACACTCTTCAACCATCGCAAGACTTTAGTCTTGCGATGGTTGTACAGGGATTAAAAAAACGTACGATCTGCCTATCTTGGACAGGCAGATCGCACTCTCGATCATCGCAAGCCCGCCCCCCTGAGGGGCGGGCTTCCGATGACCGCAATGCTGAACGGGCAGTGTGCGCGTGCGCACACCGGCCCGTTCGGCATTTGTCTTCCGAGCACCGTTCTAACCAGCCGAGAATCGTACGATTCCCGGCTGGTTTTCGAACATGCTGGTTCGACAGAAGACGTGCGACCGTACAGTAGAAACGGTCGCACGTCTCCGTTCACACTGCTCGATTATCGTACGAAAAACCGATCGCATACGATTATCGTACGATAATCGTGCAGTGTATGGGCACCTTTTAAAAAGCTGACTTGTCATTTGAAAACGCAGGGAATATAAAAGATCAGATGGACAGAAAGCTCTACTATGTAGGGCTTGGGATGCTAACGCTGCTTCCATGGCCCCTGCCATGGCAGCCACGTGTGTGGCCTGTAATATGGACCTGTGGATGGAGAATGTTGCCTTGCATGTCTCAAGGGGCTCCGGCCGAACATGTTCTGGAATCCCTGTCAGTCTTATTGTACAACAGCAAAATATAAATAATATAAATGTATTCCAAAATTTATATAGAATAAAACACATCTTCACAATTTTTAACCCCTCAAAATGGCCTTTTTCGATTGCTGGCTTGCAGCTTATACCACACTCTTAATAAAGCCTTCAGTTTTTTGGACAGACATCCCCCCCCCCCACTCCTTTGCTCTGGTGGTATAAACAATACTTAGCCTTCTTTTTAGGATTAGATTATATACAATAATTGTACACTGACACAGCACATAATTGGTCAACACAACAAAGGTCAAGTGCTGTTACAAACATATTATTATACTACATCAAAGTGAAAAATATAAACCTGTGTAATCATTCATAACAGTATAGAAATGGGTTATCCTTGAACACAACTGATGCATTGTTTGCACACTCTTCCACTGACCACACTATGTTCAGGCGTTCTTCCACTGACCACACTACGTTCAGGCGCTCTTCCACTGACCACACTACGTTCAGGCGCTCTTCCACTGACCGCACTACGTTCAGGCGCTCTTCCACTGACCGCACTACGTTCAGGCGCTCTTCCACTGACCGCACTACGTTCAGGCGCCCTTCCACTCTTTCCACACTACGTTCAGGCACCCTTCCACTGACCGCACTACGTTCAGGCACCCTTCCACTCTTTCCACACTATGAAAGAATGTGATATTTCATCCTACTGAATGAACAGATACACTTTCTAATGCATATTAACATCAAAATACCCACAACGATGCCAAGTACAATGTCTGAAAGGTCAGCTAGTGGACTGAAGCCATTGGATTGCTGCCCTCTTAATGTAATGATGAGGTCATATTTTTATATTGTTTTGGATAGACTTAGTTTCACAGTCTCCTTGGTCTGGATGCATTACAGCTGACTTATTGGTGTATCTGAAAGTCCCCAGCTATTTAAAACACATATCAACATTGACTACAACCAACAAGACAATGGCATCTCCCCAGGTCAGAAGTTATTTTTTAACTTATTTCATCTACACACGATTGGATAATTGAAGTGAATATTCACACAATTTATAGTGTAAAGATTATCATCTCCTGTAGTCATTCAGCCCAGCACTGTACATTAAGTGACAGCTTTTATGACTCTGTATTGGTTATATCAACAAATGATCACAACTTGTTGTTATTAACAACATAATATTGCAATGTGTATTTTTACACTATTTCCTCTTGGAGAGTCTCATCTATTTGATTTTAAAAATAGATTTTTTTTTAATTTTATATTGTGCTGGAACTTTTTTCCTTCTGCACATTACAGAAACGATTTGAACCATTCTCGTCAGTCCCTGTCCCACACGTTGACAGCTTGATGTATAGCAGTCAGTCTGCTTTTATATAAACAAGAGATATCTTTACATTATACAGTAGCAGTGCATTATTTTATTTCATAACATTTGTAATATAAAATGGGGAAATAGGAATGTTCTTGCAATGCTGATGTGGGCAGAGGGCCCTGGGTGTCTCGGTGACAGAAATCTTTGTTTTGGCTTTTGCAGGACCCAGTGGCAGAATCTGGTACACTGGAGAAAATGTCAGAGGACCAGATGGAAACATTGGCTCACTATGAGCAACTGGTGATTCAGTTGAAGGAGCTGATCCAGCAAAAGGATGCAGAGATCCAGCACAAGGACACTGAGCTTCAGCAGAAGGAAACCCAGCTTAAGGTACAGGAGCATGCAGAACTGATCTATAGATTTCAAAGGAATAGACAGTAACTTGAAGAACTCCGGGCAAAACTTTTATTAACCCTTGCAGTAGGGCTAGCATCCCCCGCAAGGGTTAAGTGTTTGTCTTGGTCTAGGTGCTAAAAAAAGTTATACTCACCTGAACTGCCTTCCTGGCTCTCTTCTCCAGTCTCTGAACCCTCCGAGGTTCAGGTGAGTATAACTTTTTTTTTTAAGAATCTAGACAAAAGAAGCAGTTAACCCCTGCAGTGTGGGGGTAGCCCCACTGCAAGTTTTAATATAAGTTTTGTCCGGCGTTCTTCTTTAAGGTTAAATGCACCAAAGTTTGGCTTTGTTCATCAGGTTATTTATTTTAGTCATTTGGGCCATAGACTTCATGTTCATGTTTCACTTACTATACATCTAGTGGTAGCAGATGCTTTCTTTTTTCATGAGGTATGTCTTTCCTGAATCGTATGCAATACTAATGCTAATGTGAATATAGTTTCACTGCTGAGCAAGCTTTTGTATAAAGCCATGATCCAGACTTAAGTAGGGTATACACAGTTAGAATTTTGTGCAAACAAAATCGATTTCAGACCGTTCGTTCAACTTTCTTTGGGGTCAAATCGATGATCAGTTTTGATTGCAGTGACGAAAAAAAGTCAGAGGAGCATGTTAGAAAATTTTTATCGATCAAACTAAATTCTAACGGTGAATGTGATTTTTTTCATTTGGGACACTGCACTCATTACGAAATTGACTGTTAAATCAAAACGAAATTTCGAACAACATTTGTCACGTCGGATGGCGTTATCTGACGCTCTGGCAGGATTCTGCATATGAACGGTCATTCGAAAATCTACCAGTGTGTACCCGACTTTACTTAGCAAGGCAGTACAAAGAGCTATAATGTGCATTAACCCATAGCATCCAATCAGTCATCAACACCTAAGTGATCTGCCAGCAGTTTTTAGACATTTATTCGAATTGCATTGTTTTCTTCCCTTTGCGTATTAATATTTTTCTGGTGTAGCTTAAGGCTTCTTTTGCAATCTTAAAGGCCGTCTGTTTGATTCTTTGATGAAAGAAGCCTGTTGTTTCCGCATGCCATTAACTCATCTCCCAGCCTGGAGTTTTAATCAGATTAATTGTGGCTCAATTCAATCAGCTTTGTTATGCCTTTTCTTTAGGTAGCCCAAAGTGCTTTGAGAATAATTTGTCATGTATAAATGTTTATCTGTAAAGCAAAGATTATGTATACAGTAAAAAGAACAGATCTAAAATAAGCTTAAAAATGTATATGCCTAAAACAACTAAAGACTAATTGAACCAAAACCATCACAGTTTTTCTTCAGATTTTAAATTCACAAGTATTTCTCCCATTGCACCCAGCACCTAATATAATCTAGTAAAAGGTTTGACAGTACAATATTCTTTGTTTACACAAGCCTTTGAGTAGCTTTATTTTTCTTCACAAATTGATGTTTTTTTTCCATCATATCCTTTTGCATTGTTTGCACATCCTGGAGAGCATTGTTTTGTTTTTTGTGTGTTCTCAAATGTGCTTACCTTCTTGTTTGATATTATATATTTACCTGCTTTACTGCATTAAGCCTAGACTCAGTATTTGGTATGTAATTTTTTTGTAGGTGTGGCACTTGCCCTGTAAGTAGGTGTGGCACTTGCCCTGTAATAAATGCCACTTTGATTGTATATCGTTATCCCTTGGTAGTCTTCCTGGGCAGCATACGGAAGATGATGGTTCCTCCCCACAAGCAGTAAACACGTCACACCATCAATTTAAAAGAGCCGCCTTAACCTTATTCCTCAGTTTTTGTGTCTCCTCTGTCAGGATGGGACACGTCACGGAACGCTGGGGGGGAGGGGGGGATCTGAGCTGTCATCTCTTGTATGCTGTGGGTCTGCACCCTGACCTCCACCCCCCCTTCCCACTTTACCCAGAGCTACCTTTTTCGCTTGGCCTCCAGCGCTCTTCTAGACTTCGGCAGGGGACTTTGCTGGCTACCTCCTCTTCCTCAGAGACTGGGGAGGGACAGGATCGGCGATGGCGCTGCTGTCCTGGCTAGGTCCCGGTCTGTGCATCCGCTGGTCGGAGAGGCTGTGTGGTGTCCGGGGCCCTTGGGATCGGTTCTGCGGCCTGACCGGTTGGCGGCTTACGTCACTCCCGGTGTGGGCAGCGTTGTTTCCAGGTGCTTGAGGCCTTGCGTTTTGGGTCTAATTTTCAATGCAGAAGTGGAGGGGAGGCCATGGCTGGTGCTTCTTCCAGCTTCTCCTCCCAGTAACAACTGCGAGGATGCCGGCAGCGAGGGGCACTTGTTGTACATGGATTCCAGGCCCGCTCCACAGTCCCAGTTTCTATCAGGTCTGGGATCTTCTGGCACCAGTCCTGCACAGGTAAGGGGATATTTATTTTTCTTATATCACCTGTGTCTCCGACTATAGGTGTACACTTGCAGCCCCTTGGTGTTGGGCTTATATGTGTTGTGGCACTGGTTCTGGATGGGTTTGCTCCTCTTAGTGTTGGGCAGGCCAAACCGGTGGATAGAATAACCCCAGTTAGAACCCATGCTGTGCCGAAGCCTTCAACCTCTTCCCAGACCCTATTTGGAGAGTGTTGTGGATAGGGTTTGAGAGCACGAGGATCCCTCGCAGGCTGATTCCGTAGCAGAGGAAGGCAGTGTTCAGGTTGAAGCCATTAATCCTACCAATTTTAAGTTAACTCTGGTGGATGTGGAAGAGTTGCTTATAGCCATTTATGACACTGTGGAGAACCCTTACCAAGGAATGTCAAGAACCTGAGAAAAACCCCTTGCTATCTAATAATCTTAGGAGGTGCTTCCTCTTTGCAAATATCCAGAAATGGTTTGGAATAAAGTTCCTATACTGGATGCTCCTTTCTCTAAGGTTTCTAAAGAAAAAAAAAAAAAGGTGACCTAACCTTCAAAAACATGGGGGATTTTCGTGATCCCATGGTTCTTCCCACAGGGCCTTATGGTTAAAGTTCTGGGAAGGGGGTACAGCCTTTAAAGTTTCATCTATTCTATCTTTTGTTCTCTGGGATATCTTTTTTTGTCAGAGCGTAAATCTGTTCTAGAGTGCTTGGCGGACAAAAGGAAGGCCTTCCCTGGAAAAAAAGGAAAAACCCTTTCGTAAGTTTTTTTCCGAGGCCCCCGATATAAGAACCAGGGTAGCAAGAAGATAGTCCCTAGTAGCATTAAAAAGGCACTCGGGTAGAGGCAAGGATGGATTCTCTTAATCTCTTAATCTTCCGGTGAGGGGAGGGTTAGGAGGATTCCTCCCACAGTGGAAAGAGATGACCTCCATCAAGTTCATTCTGGATCTCTTGGAATTAGTTACAGGGTGGTTCTTGGTGGCAGTTTCTATTTTCAAGTTTTGTAGTTCAGTATGGCTCGGGCAAATTCCGCCTTATTCTCAGTACAAGTAATTCAGGATGGACTAAAATTTTTTCAGTAATGACTCTTCTGCGTCCAAACCCTTTTTTAGCAACTCTAGATCTGGGGTTTACTTATCTTCACAGACCTATTTATCCCAACTACAAGCAGTTCCTGAGGCTGGCAGTCAGGACAGGATGCAGTATAGTTCAATTTCAGTTCAGAGCTCTTCCTTCGGGCTCTTCACAGCTTCTAGGCCATTTTTGACAGTACTGCGAGAGGCTCTGGCTCACTTGAGACTGCAGGGAATCAACGTTTTTCTGTACCTGGTCGACATCTTGTTTCTGGTCCCCTCTGCAGATCAGCTGGAGAAGGACCTGGCCTTTACACAGAGGAGGTTGCAGGGATCCTGGCTAGATCATAATTTCCAGATTTTCTAATCTAAGGCCCTCTCTGGTGGTTACGTTCGTAGTGTTCTCGACAGTGTGGGGACACAGGAAGACACTGAACAGTGCATCTTGCAGCCAGTAGCCTACAGGGGAGTCTTGCGGTTCCTTGGGATAGGTCATGCCAGTTATCGGTCTTGACTGCTTGTTTACCGGGGGATCGATCTCTGGGAAGCCTGGATTTAGAAGTTCTACTCCCTTTCTCCTTTTAAAAGGGGCCTGTGGTGGTGGAGAGATGACTCTTTATTTGTAGGGAGGTCTCCTGTGGGTTTTCAAGCTTCAGGGAAGCTCACAACAGATGGCTATTCCTGGGGATGGGGAGCCCTCCCAGGGGAGTTAGTGGCCCAGGAGCAGTAGTCCCATGAAGATTAGAGAGCATTTTCAAAATGGAGAGAGCTCTAGGCAGTCTTCGATGGCCTTTTAGCTTCTGAGGATACTCAAGAACCAACACCTGGTGTTTTCTGACAATGCTACAGCAATGGCTTATCTCAACAGGCAGAGCAGTCTACCTCTTCAAGCTTTAACCAGGGATATGATATTTTTTCTTGGGAGGAAGTGAACATGGCCTCTCTGGCGGCAGTTCTTCTCTAGGGATCTCGGAAACTCTTTGAAAAGCTTGGGGATATCCAGAAGTGGATCTTTTTGCTTACTAAGTGTATGCAAAAGCGTAGCAGTTTTTCTCTCTGTAGCCAAGAGGTGCGACCATTAGCAGTGGACACCTTTTTCAAAATCCATGTCAATTTAGCCTCTGTTACTCTTTCCCTTCTGTTCAGCTAATACCCAAGGTATTGTAGAGGTTTCTCCAGGAAAAAACAACTCCTAATTTGTCCTTTTTGACCCAAGAAAGGTTTTCATTATGGTTCCTAGTCGGTTGTCTGCCCGAGTCGTCTCTGTTGTGCGGACCAGACCTGATTTCCCAGGGTCCAGTACTTCACCTGAGGGTCCAGATGTTCAAACTGACTGCCTTCTTCTGAAGAAAATATGCTATGGGGTAAGAATAGTGTATAGTAGGGTGCAGAGAACTTTCGGTTTGTGATAAGTAGATTAACAAACATTAGAATGTTCATAATATTTTGGCATCCACTCTTAGTGTCTATTTGCAGTTTTCACTAGCTGAGGTTCAGCTTATTTACCTCAGCTCAGAGAATTGGTGAACTACAGGCTTTGTCTTTTGGAGAACCCTTCCTATCTATTTATAATGATAGGATTGTTTTTTTTGCAGAGATCCTCCTCCAATTTCCATAGATATCAAGATATTCTGTTACCTACCTTTTGTATCAATTCCACTATCACAAAGGAAGGATCTTTCACTGCCCCGATGTCAGACGCTGTTTTCTAGGGTTTCTTTGGGTTGCCAAGGGCTTGTATATCTGTGCTCCTTGCCGGCAGGCATACTCTTGGAGGCTTAGGCAAGCTATAAGCGAAGCTATAGTTCCATGAAGTCTACATCTCCCAGTTTAGTCAGGGCTCATTCTACCAGAGTTTTGACGGCTTCATGGGCAGAGAAAGCGTACCTACGTGGTCAGGTTTTGCTTATTTTTGCTTCTTTGATCAAATAATACCTCCTAGATCTTTTCTCTGCGAAGGATCAGATTTGGTAAAAAGGTTCTGCAAGCAGCGATCCCGCCCCAGGTGGGTAAGTTCTTGTTTAAACTCTCGTATGCTGCCCTGGAGGACAACTAAGGGAAAATCGGAGTTAGGACTTACCAGTAACTCTATTTCCAGTAGTCTTCCAGGCAGCAGGACTCCTACCCTTTTGTTGGCATGACTTTAAAAATTGTTTTGGGTTGTTTTTGCTTGTTTTGTTTCTATTTTGTTGCAGCTTTGCTTCCTTCGGTACTCGGTTTATCTAAGGGAGGTTAAGGCGGCTCTTTTAAATTGATGGTGTGACGCGTTTCCTGCTTGAGTGTAGGAGCCATCATCTCTCGTATGCTGCCCTGGAAGACTACTGGAAATAGAGTTACCAGTAAATCCTAACTCTGATTATCTTGCTGTCACTGGATATATTTTCATTACAGCCAAAGAATGGGTGATCCCTCTGTAAGGGGACGCTTTCCCTACCGAAGATATTTACTAGATAATAGAAATATATATTTTTTTTATTTGTACTGTCAATTTTATGTCCTTGTGTGGTATTGTTTTGTCGCTGTTTGTTTTCTGGGTCAGTAACTCAGATTAATAAAGCGATTGGTCATTGGGTCAGCATGACAGCCATCTTTATTCCTGCTGAATTAGTCATATGTATTTCCATAGACATATTAGCTGAGCCCATGCTTACACTCCAACTGTTGGTGTGTCACCAGTACACTTCCATGAATGAGTAAAATTTGAAAACCGTCCTAGAGCTGTGTTATTAGAGGAGAATTATGGGGAGAGTAAAATACACTCTTCTCCATAAATAGAGCCGACATGTGACATTGAATTATACAAAATTGAACAGCACTACAAAGAGTGCAATCATGTAAATCTAAACCAATAATAGATCAAAGAGCGTATGTGCAGAAAAAAGGCCCATCTGAAGATTTACTCCTCGGAAATACAATTGACCTTTTTAATTGTCTACAGCCCATTATAACGATCCCTACAATTCTATTTAATAAGCCATACCTTATTCCCAAGCATCAGTGATATGATCCCTGATAACTGCAATTAAGAACAATTTAAAAATAAGAGTTATTTAAGCTGCACATTGCATATTATGATTAGTTAGAATTGGTTTTGGCAATTAGGCAGAAGTAAGAGGAGACACCATATGTTGCCTTGCATATAGTGGAAAGTTTAGGTTTTTTTTCCAATTCATAGTCACTTCAAATCAATTATTTGTTACCCAAAGAGGATCCTGTATCTTAGGCTTGGGATGTATACAAGGGCGGAGGCCTCAGGGTCACTTTAAATCAATCATTTTGTGCATGGACCCTGTATCTTAGGCCTTGGATTTGTACAGGGCCTCATCTTCCCTATCAAGATTACGTTCTGCCTCTCCAGACAGTAAGCCTGGGGTTCAGCTGTTTGACAATAAATGGTCTTTGTTAGAACAGGGGGCAAATCTTAAATTGGCAAAAAGTCAAGGCCCTGTATTCAGTGTGGGCATGGGATTCAGGATCCTTCTGTAATTTGAAATTTGCTCAGGAACTGGGTACCTGCACTTTACCATGTTAGATTTTACACTTTGGTGGACCTTACAGATCTGTTTTAACTACTGTATT